ATCAACGACCACATTGGCTTTTCTCGAATGATAAAGGACCTCACAATCATAATCCTTGACCACATCAAATCATCTACGCTACCTCATATCATAATTCAGCTGGTCCATAAGATATCTCAGGTTCTTATGATCCGTGTAGATGGTGCAACGAACCCATACAGACAGTGTCGCCAAATCTTAAAAGCAAACACCACTACCCCTAACTCTAAGTCATGCGTTGGATAATTAGCCTCGTGATGCTTCAACTGTCTGGAAGCATATGTAATAACTCTACCTCACTACATGAGCACTACCCCAAACCTGTGATCAAAGCATCACAATACCACAAAATCCTCAACACTTTCTGAAAGGGTCAATATTTGGGCCTCACATAGTCTTTGTCTTAGAGTCTCAAATGCAGCCTACGGCTCAGGCTCCCGGTGAAAATCCACACTCTTCCTCGCCAAGCGAGTAAGAGGAGCAACAATCTTGGAGAAATCCTGGATAAGCCTTTGATACTAATCTGCCAACCCAAGAAAACTTCAATCTCAGATGGAGACTTCGGGACCTCCCGTTGCATAACCTCTTCAATCTTGGCCGGATCAACCAAAATCCCATTCTGATTGACGAGGTTCCCAAGAATTGGACCTATCACAACAAAAACTCACACTTGGAGAATTTGGCATAAAACCTCTCCTTCCTCCACACTCCAAGTAACTCCCATAGGTGCTCTTCATGCTGCTTCTTGGTCTTGGCGTAGACTAAAATCTCATCAATAAACACAATGACTGAGCTATCGAGCATCAACATGCATAACCAATTCATAAAATCTATGAATGATGTAACTGCATTGGTGAGTCGCAACAACATCACCACAAACTCATAATGACCATATTGAGTTCGAAAAGCTTTCTTCTCTACATCCTCCTCTATGACTCTCTTCTAGTGGTAACCCGACCTCAAATCAATCTTGGAGAACCAAGACGCACCCCGTAGATTATCAAAGAGGTCATCAATCCTCAAAAGTGGATAACGGTTCTTCACTGTCAACTTATTCAACTCCCAGTAATCTATTCACATTCGATGAGAATTGTCCTTCCTTTTTATAAACAAAATCGGCGCTCCCCAAGGTGAACTGCTAAGTAGATAAACTTCTTGCCTAACAACTCCTGGAGATGAGAGGACAATTCTTGTATCTATGGTGGTGCGAGGCGATACAGCGACTTAGAAAGCGGGGCCGCATCTGGGATTAGATCAATCCTAAAGTCCACCTACCTTGCGGGAGGCACAACAGGTAGATCTTTAACGAAAACATCCAAAAACTCCCTAGCCACTGGCACATCCAAAACTGACTTCTTCCTCTCAAAACTTAACAATGGGGGCTAGGGTTTATTTGGGGGTGAAAGGGAAGTAATAGAGGATGAGGGTGTGCAAACCCTAGCAATCATATCCCTTAAATAAGGCATAAGGCCCGAAAAATTAGGGTTTTGCATGTAGGTGGCTGCCACATCATGACACTCAAGAGAAATGCGCATTTCACCTGGTGCCAGCACGTCGTCGTACTATCATCACCACATTGTGACCACCATGAAAAACTTGTATTTTAATCCTCAAATGCCCACAATAATAAAAACAATTATAAATGGAACTTGGTGTTAAAGTTATATAGTGGCTAGTGTAACACCCTATTTATGGTATGTTATTTAATGTTTATTTTTCCAAGTTTTTCAAGAGGGACTCGACGAGTCTGTTGCCCGACTCATCGAGTGGAGACGGGATTTCAAGCACGAGGAAGTGGGCGACTCGACGTGTCCATATCCTAGACCCGGCGAGTCCGCCACCCTGGAAGAAACCCTAGATCCACGGGTTTTGCACCCTATATAATCCCACTTATGCGCCCAATCTGGCCTCCCTCACCCTCAGAACGTCTCATAGCAACACCTTAACCAATCTTGAGTGTTTTTGGGCATTTTTATGTAAAGAGTGAAGATTGGAAGAGAAGAGGAAGGCTAGATCCAAAGGAGAAGAAGGGAATCAAGTTCTTGCATCCATTTCAGAGGCATTTGAGGTATTAATCGGACTCTTTCTATTCCTTGGTTGTTTCTCTTTAGGGATCTCATTTAGGTTACCCTTTTTGCCCATTTATGAGCTTAATCTAGTAAGGGAGCTTGTGTAGTGGTATAGCTTTCAGATCTAATCATATTTCTATCCTAAAACCCAGATCTAATACCTTTATTGAACCTTGTTGCATATAAGCCCTAGATCTAACCTTATTCATGCATTTTATGCCTATAAACCTCTTTAGGAGTATTTGTGCACGTAAAAATGGAACCTTTACGTGCAAACCAAGCCTTAGGAGCCCAGATCTATCAGTTGGATGCGTTGGTTTTGAGCAGAATCGTCTGAATAGTTATTGCATGCATGCGACTCGGCGAGTCATTCTTCGGACTCGGCGAGTCGAGTCGCGAGACCAAGATAATCTTCATACCTGTAGATTAGACTCGACGAGTTGATCATACAACTCGGCGAGTCACATCCAGAGTGTTCATACGTTGAAGGAGGACTCGACGAGTTGTTCATACAACTCGGCGAGTCGGATGCAGATTGACTGAGTGATAACATTGAAGAGGAACTCGTCGAGTCTATGCCAAACTCGACGAGTAGTAGCGAGCAGAAGCAAGGAAGTGAGGGTAGGGACTCGACGAGTCAGGTCAACTGTATGTTGACTTTGACCAATAGGATTGACTTTGATCACGAGTAAAATAGTCATTTTACCCTCAGTATAGTTATCAGTATTTGATTCAGTGTGTTATGAAAATTGTAGCCGGGGAGATACAGGAGCAGCGGCAGACAGTTTCCAGAGCAGTTCATTTACCAGCCAGTTTATGAGGTGAGTTTCCTTCCAGTAGGAACGGGTCTAAGGCCACAATGCTGGCCCGTTTAGCTAGTAGTAGTTTCCGAACTCCGGTCCGATGTAGTTTTTAGTGTGTTTGATGCCTTCGTGGCTCAGACAGGATTTATGTGTTATGTGTTCCGGGCTACAACCCAATGCAGTATGCAGTTTATGTGTTCATGCTAGTTGATATGTTTATGCAATGCTATGTTATGCTCAGTTTCTGGACTTCGGTTCGATGCAGTTAGCTTCGGAATTCGGTCCGATGCAGGGGACAAGGTCCCAGTCAGTTCCAGACTTCGGTCCGATGCAGTTTCGGACTTCGATTCGATGCAGGGGACGAGGTCCCAGTCAATTCCGGACTTCGGTCCGATGCAGTTTCCGGACTTCTGTCTGATGCATAGGGCAAGGCCCTAGTTAGTTCCGGACTTCGGTCCGATGCAGTGGGCAAGGCCCAGTATGTGTTTATATGTTATTGTATGGTATGTGGTAGTTTAGGGGAGCTCACTAAGCTTTGTACTTACAGTTTCAGTTTTGGTTTCAGGTACTTCTGCAAGTAAAGGGAAGAGCTCGGGATGATAGCATCGCACACACCACAGCTTCAGCTTTATTCCCGGGAGTTTTGTTCAGATAATTAGATGTGATTTGATACAGTTTTTGATACGACACTTTTATTATGACTTTTGAGATATCCGACGTATGGTTTTATTATATGGCATTCAATGTATGACTTTTATTGTTATTTAAGAACAAAATTTTTGAATCGTATTTTTGGGATGTTTCAGCTAGCTACTAGGGATGGCTATATTTTCGACAATATATATTTTTATTGTACAAATGGATCATTTCTATAATTTTTCTATGATATCGGGATCAATACAGTAATTTGTCTGGCGCAAGGACCAAATATCTACTTTTGGTATTACACAAGGACCATTTTTGTATTTTTACTATTACACATGAACAATTTCTCTAATATCCTTACTACACTACATAGGGACCATTTTTAAACTTTGTTTCACAAAGAAACCATTATTGTAACTTTGTCTTACACGTTGATCAAATATGTAATTTAATAATTATACATAGGGGTGTGCGTTGTGGAGTTATTTGTCAAAACCGAACCGTTAACAATAAATGCAGTTATTAGATTTTATAAACATGATTGTGTGGTTAATGTAGCGGTGCAGTTATGCAGTTTTATGTTGCTCGGTTTCTTTCGGTTTCGGTTTTAGCTTTTAACTGCATGACTTTCATGTTGTTTTTAACCACATGGTTTTGGTAATTTTTGAGGTTTTATAAGTATTATTAGTCGTAACAATATGAAAATCATTAATTTATAAGAAAATAACAAACTAATAAATTAAGCATAACAAACTAATAAATTAAGCATTAGACAATTAACATCTTAACATCGACAAATTTAAAACACTTGGGCTAAAAGTTCAAACACCACCAAACTATATTTTTAAAAATTTAATAAATGTTAAAACACCATCAAACCAATAACTTAACTAATTATATTTTATATTATTATTAACTAAATATTAAATCTTATATATAATTATTTAATATAATAAATTCTTGAGATTCAACTATTTCCTATTATTGGAAAATTAAAAACCGCACTGCAGCTAAAATTTATATTTTTTTTTAAATTATAACCGCACCATCGGTTTCAAATTCAGTTTCGATTTATACGGTTTTATTTTTAGGTTTTTGCGGTTTGCTTTTTCCTCACCTCTAACGTTCACGGGTATCTATACCGGATGGTTTTTTTTATTAAACTTATAGTATATTTCTTTTTTTTATATTAAAAAAATCAATAATCTTAAAAAAAAAAAAAAAAAACAGTTTATTTATATAGTTATGATTATAATATTTACAAGGGTATGTTATCCTTTTTTAAATAGGAGCGAAAAGGGGAGACAGGAAACATCCTTGACACCTGCTAGCAATATATTGACACCTGCTAACAATATATTGCATGAAGATAAAACCCAACAATATAAGGCACCGATACCATAAGGTTGATGGATAAGCTCCAATATGTTGATCTTCTTAAATTAATAAATTCAAACGAAGGCACGAAGATTAGATCACCATTATCATTTACATTTTACCGGCGATGCCTACCACCGACTCCGACGGCGGTAAGCAGCAGCTTCATGTGGTGATGTTCCCATGGCTTGCTTTCGGTCACATCATCCCTTTCCTTGAACTTTCTAAATCAATAGCCCAAAAAGGTCACAAAGTCTCTTTTCTTTCCACAACTCGAAACATCCAACGTATCCCAAACCTCCCTTCTCACCTCTCGCCACTTATAAACTTGGTTCCACTCACTCTTCCACGTCTTCATCAGCTGCCACAAGATGCAGAGACCACCATGGATGTCCGCACTGAAGATATTCAATACCTCAAGAAGGCTTTCGATGGTCTTAAGCCAGAGGTCACGCGATTTCTCAAGGCGGGTTCCCCAGACTGGATAATATATGATTTTGCTCCCTACTGGTTGCCGGAGATCGCTGCTGGCCTTGGCATCTCGCGAGCCTTCCTCTCCATATTCAACGCATGGTTCATCGCTTTTCTAGGAGGATCGCCGGAGGACATGATAAATGGTTCCGATGATCGGACGTCGGTGGAGGACTTCCTAACGCCGCCCAAGTGGGTTCCATTCCCCTCGAAAATATGCTATCGGAGGCATGAGGCTGACTGGATGGTGGACAGTAGTTCTCCTAATGCTTCTGGGGTTTCAGATGTATATCGTAGCGGGATGATCTTCAAGGGGTCTAACTGTGTGTTCATGAGATATTGCTTCGAATTTGAACCCGAGTGGTTAACCCTTTTAGAAGAGCTACACCACCTCCCGGTGATTCCAGTGGGTCTAATGCCACCGACCACATCCGCTGACGTCGGAGATGAGAAAGATGACACGTGGCTAACAAACAAGAACTGGCTCGATGGTCATCAAAAGGGGCATGTTGTGTACGTGGCGTTAGGCAGTGAGGTTATGCTGAGCAAAACTGATGTGAGTGAGTTAGCCCTGGGTTGCCCTTCATTTGGGCTTTCAGAAAACCGGCGGGTTCCTCCGAGTCAGACTCGGTTGAATTGCCAGACGGGTTCTTGGAGCGAATCCGGAACCGTGGGATGGTGTGGACGAGTTGGGTACCTCAGTTACAGATACTGAGTCATGACTCGGTGGGTGGATTCTTGACTCACTGTGGTTGGAGCTCGATTGTGGAAGGGCTAATGTTAGGTCATCCTTTAATCATGCTTCCGTTTTTGGTGGACCAAGGGCTGAATGCTCGAGCACTGGTTGACAAAAAGGTCGGAATTGAGGTGCCAAGAAATGAGCATGAGGGGTCCTTCACCAAGAACTCGGTTGCCGACTCACTGAGTTCGGTAGTGGTTGAAGATGAGGGGAAGGTCTACAAGGAGAATGCTATGGCTTTGAGCCGAATATTTGGCGACATGAAGCTACAACAGAAGTATACAAACGAATTTGTAGAGTATTTGGAAAAACATAGGTACAACCCTTGATTAAATGGTTGTTAACGTTTGTTTAAATGGTTGAATAAATGAAGATATAACATTGGCTTTTGGGATTGTGTAAATGATTGAATAAGAACCATGAAAAGCCATTGAAGTATTTGATAGACATAAGAAGATGTTTTGTTCAGTTGGTATATCTTTTTTTGAGTGTATCTATTACTTACAATACAATGAAAAATTCTCTACACCAATTAATGTTGGTGCGGAAGTACACACTTGTATTTACTAAATATTATTAGTACCGGACCCTAATCCACTGTGTCAAGTCGGGGGTCCGCTATTTGAAAAGACATTACAAGGTCTGATTTGTACTTCTTAAAAGATAGCAATTGTTGTGACTTATTCGTTTATTGGATAAATCGGTGATAAATGGCTATTTAAAACACATATGAAAACGCAGAACGTTCTTTCGCTTCATATTCTTCAATTGTTCTGATTTTGTACCTTAAATCAGAATTGTTGCATTAGGAATTATCCTAAGTTTGGATTATGTGATACCCTAGACATATAGGGTCGAAATATTAAACAAGGAAAGTGTTGACACGATTCCTGTTTGTGATCTAGATTTCCAATAATCTTATTTCGTTTTTCCCCAATAATTGATTCAGTGAAACTTTGAGACGAAGATTAATACTTTCTGAATACTTAATCAAATTTAGTATAACTGATGATCAAATTAGTTTCACAACCAAAACAGGAAGCAGAACAGATCTAGTTGATTCATGATACAAATCTTGATAATATTGTCCTCAATCTTCATGATAAGGATGATATCGAACAACATTAAACTAGAACATGTTAGCATAAAAAAACAAATTGTAGAAAATTAAACTAGCATAAAAAAACAGATCGTAGAAAATTAAACATAATAAATCAAGAAAATTAAGAAAATCAAAAGCACAACATTAAGATTTTTACGTCGTTTCTTAGAATTACTAAAAACTTTACATCAATCATAGCATTTGTTCTTACTTTTTTATCTTAACCTTCTAGACAATAATCTCTCTTCTCAAATATATCTAAATTTAAACAGTGAAAACCGAGAAAATTACTTTCTAACAAGGTTAACCTTAAATTTATGTTGTTTGAAGCGATGCATTAATTCTAACTTTTCAAGAACTTATTGGTATTAAATTTTGTCGTCGAAAATTCAAGTTTCGTTATATGGATTTAGGAATGTAGTTTAGGTTTAAATTAGATTTGCGGTTCAATATATATATATATATATATATATATATATATATATATATATATATATATATATATATATATATATATATATATAACTGCAATAAAGTCCCTACATATTGGTTTCATAATCAATTTAGTCTTTATATTTATTTTTTATTAAATTAAGTCTCAAATACCGGTAATTGTATTCAATTTAATCCTTAGACGGTCAACAGGTCATCCAACTTTCAAAACTTACATTTTTGGCCCAGATTTCAAAATTTATTACAAATTTGATCTAAATTTTACACTTTGGCCCAAATTTTAAATTTTCTAACAAATTTGGTCCAAACTTTACCCTTTTTGTCCAAATTTTAGAATTTTACTATGAATTCATCTAACTTTAGTTTTTTTTTACAACTTTATTTCTCAAAAAACTGTTTCTAATATGTTTTTTCTTTATAAAATCATATTTATACAAAAAAATATATATATTTTCACATAAAATCTTATATTTTCTATGTATATATTTTTTTGTTTATGAAGTATCTAGTTATAAAAATATATATTTATTAAGTATATAAATATATACAAAACTGTTTTTATAAAAAAAATTTATACAACAACGTATTTTACGAAAAAAAATTATATACAAACACCAATCACCTTTATGTGTGTGTGTGTGTGTGTGTGTGTGTGTATATATATATATATATATATATATATATATATATATATATATGCACACAAATAGGTGTGTATCTATTTGTTTTTTATAAAATCGTGTTTGTTTATATTTTTTTTTTATAAAAACGTGTTTGGCTAATTTTTTATATAATACGTGATTGTATACATTTTATAAAACTGTGTTTAAATAATTTTTTATATAATACGTATTTGTATATATTTTATAAAATCGTGTTTGTATACATTTTATAAAATGTATACAAACAAGTATTATATAAAAAATTATTCAAACAAGTTTTTATAAAAAAAATATAAACAAACAAGATTTTATAAAAAAAATATAGATAAAAAAATGTAAACAAACAAGATTATAGTGAGAGCCATATGTTGGGTTTGGGTTTGATCCTTGATGGGTTGCAAATTTAACACACACACATAAACACACACATACACACACACACACTCTCTCTCTCTCTCTCTTTCTCTGTGTGTGTGTGTGTGTGTGTGTGTGTGGATCATGAGCCTTCATCATCTTCCTTTTAACCATCACCATCTACATACCATGAATGATGAACCCAAGCTTCTTTATTCGACCAACAAACTTGTACCATAAAATCGAACTTCTTCACAAGCCCCACAATATGAATCAACCTAACACCATCATCTACCACTTCCTATCATAACCTTCATCGTCTTCCTTATGTGACCATTTCTACCCCTTGGTCTTCATCTAGCCATCATAGACCCATAGCTTAAGAACTAGAAGGAGAAAGAGGGAAATCAATACCTATTGCAAAATCGAATCTTAAGGAAATCATCTCCTGTCACAATCACATACCTGCAACTTGAGACTTGTTCATCAATTTTACATAGAAAGAAGAAAGAGTTCATCTTTGTTTAATATTCTCGTTTGTTTATTACCTTGCACATGTAGATCTGAGGAAGGAGGAACACACACATAAAAACCCACCTTTTCATCACACCACCTAATCATCTTCGTCATTATCATATCTCATATCTTCTCATTCAAATTTTAATTAGAAGAAGCGGATCCTTGACAGTTGCGATCGAAAACACATACACACATACACAAATACACTTATTAACTGAGCCATCTGAGATAAACAATAGACATTCATGGTTCAATTTCATCCGTAAATTTGATTTCAGATTCAAATTTTTTTTCATATTGTATTAGGGTTACCGGGTTTGAATCTTGAGAGATCGACGGTGGTCGAATCTTGACATATTCAAAATCAATTTCATCCCCTAATATGTCTTCAACTTCTCAACTGATTTCTTTTGTTGTTATTGAAGAGCAAACCTAGAAAATAGATTGTTCGTGTGTGTGTTAAAGTGCAAACCCATAAAACTAAGTGTGTAATTTGAATTTTATTTGCGTGTATGTGTTGAATAACAAACTGGAATATGAACAACATTCGTACATCTTCATCTTCATCTAGGTTTCAATCTAAACATGTGAATTGATTTCCAAAAAAGAAAAATAGATCCTGTAACGTCCCAAAAATACCAATAATTGTTTTACTTTTAAACCATTAAATCTATACAAAAATTTGTTCTAAAATCAATCACAGTAAAATTTATCTCTCAAAAATCAAAGTAAACAGTAATAATCAATGCGGAAAAGCCATTAGGGCATGATGTTGTACGATCAAGTCGGGCCCTTCCCTTTAGAACTAAAAGTACATGAAAGTATTTAAACCACAAAACCATAAGCACAAAGCTTAATGAATTCCCCAAAATACCACATACCATATATAGGATAAGAAATGTTATGGGCCGGTCCATAGTCTTACTACCACTATCAGCCATGAGCCAAATCATGGTCTTTCCTTGCAACACCGGGAGCCAAACTTTGGTCCTACATACAAGTATCAGGAGCCATATTATGGTCTTCCATTGAAGCATCACAAAGACAACTAGCATCCTACATATAAATGCCGGGGCCAGACCCTAGTGTTACATACAATTACCAGGAGTCGGATCCTAGTCTTCCATACACACGTTATGAGTCTTTCATACATATGCCAAGGGCCATACCCTGGTCTTCCATGCAATCATCACAAATACAATTAGCGCCCTACATATTATAGTGAGAAGACTCACCTCGCAGTCGTAGTGAACTGCTCACATCTTTGTCTCTCTCTCATCCAATGAACGGGTGATATACACCTCTTAATAAACCACACAAGGTAAACCCTTAGTTCACCTTCTAAAACTAACCACTTGAAAAAAAGTCAACCAAGTCAAAATTCAACATTTTAACAATAAAAAATCCTCACCAGTTGACCTGCAAGTCGTAGCTAGTCTATGGCAATGTTATAGCAAATAACTTAGTCTGGATACAATAAGTTCAGTCACAGATAACCCGATCCCCACGTTGTGGCACACATGCCTCCACGTCATGGCTAACTCCAAACAAAATAGTCGATGATTCCCCCATTTCCATGTCGTAGCACCCTTCATGCCACATCGTGGCCACTGGCTGTGAACAACTTAATAGATTGGGTCCTTAATCCATTAAGCCTTCAACTCCAACTTTCTAGAAAGCATTTAAGGACTCAAAAGGCTCATAAATTCCAATATTTATGGACATGCATGCCCAATTCATCTCTCTCTCTCTCTCTCTCTCTCTCTCTCTCTCTTTCTCTTACATATCTAGGTCAAAAATGGTAGAATTAGGATCAAAACCCCCATGCATGAGCTCAAAACAACACAAATCTTTAGATCTGGAACATCTAACCATCTAGGGACCTTTATGACCAATAAAGTTGCCAAATTTATTGATTATATCCATTCAATATGTCATGAACATTAAGAAAGAGCATCTAAGCCTAGATCTAGAATATACTAACCAATTAGATCAGAAAAAGGAAACTCACAAAGGTCCAAAATTTTCTCAAATGAAATCTATAAGCTTTCCAAGAGGTTCTCTACACCAGAAGGGTATTCTTCTTCCTTCCAAATGCACCAAATCACCAAAAGTAAGCTCAAATATGGAGGAAAGCATATTGGGCTTTTCTTCAAGGTTCTTGGGGGTGATGGAGGCTGGAAATGATGCCCTAAATATGAGGTTAAAGGCTTAAATAAAAAGGAAACCCTAAAATTAT